GCAAGCAAAGGGGTGGGGTGGGGAAGTGATCCCTCGTTGTCATTCATTACTCTTCCCTTATTGAGCAGTTAGAGTAGAGGACTGGGGAGGGGGGAGAGAGAAATGAAGGCAGAACACCACTCTTGGTTATGCCCTTACCTGAGAGATATAGCCTCGGGGCATATGCCCTTCTGTGTGAGACTTGGCCTCGCTCTGGGCATGCAAGGACTCTAGCTGTGATTTCAGGGCCTGGACCTGAGTCGGGAGGGGAAAAAAAGGAGATTCAGCCACCATGAAGGGAAAAGGCATCAATTTTAAAATCAGCATGTTGCAGCCTAGCTTGATCGGCCAACAGCTTGATAAGAAAACAGTAAGAGACCAAATTTTGCAAGCAGCAAATACAAATAAATTAACTATAGTGGGAGCTGAAATTAGAGTACTAAAAGAAATACCTTGGCGTGTAAGGGGAAAACGCCACAACTATGAGATTTTGGCCAACTTATTAAGGCGAAACCAAATACAATACAAATGGCTTCTCCCGGAAGGCATATTGTTCACATATAAATCCAGAAGATATCAAATAGATTCCATATTCAAATCGGAAAATTTTTTAGATAAGGAAGGTGAAGAACTAAGATGGTAAAAAGGAAATGAAGAAGGAGATGAGGAAGAGGAAGGAGAAGGAGAGGATGCCCAAGAAGGCACAGCATCACAAACGGAAGCTGGAAGCAATAAAGCGAAAGAGAGAAAAAAGCAGCAACTAAGATAACTGAATCTCAAATACAAACCAGACTGCATCTTAAAAATATTGTAACCGCTAAGAAAGACAAAAAGAATGGCAACTAATAAATTAAATATATTATCTATTAATGTTAACGGACTAAACAACCCGCAAAAAAGAAAGAGAATTTTCCATCAAGCTAAAAAAACACACGCAAATATTATTTGTCTTCAAGAAACGCATATAAAGGATAAACATATGAAGTGTTTAGAATGTACAAAATTAGGAATCCCATTTATTTCATCAGACTCAGTAAAAAAAAGAGGGGTGGTGACATATGTAAAAGAGAACCTTCATCCAGTACTTAAGCACAAATCAAGAGATGGAAGAATTGTAGTAGTACAAATCAGAAGAAATGGAAAAGAAACTCTTATTGTAAATCTGTATGGTCCAAACCAAAACCAAGAAAGCTTCCACAAAGATTCAAAAAACATATTGGTAAAGGAAAACCCAGAAGATATTGGTAAAGGAAAACCCAGAAGAAAACCCAGGAGATTTCAATGCAGTTTTAAATGCAAAGGAAGATAAAAAGAAAGTGAAAAAAAACATTAAGGGATGGTACCACAATACCAAAAAGCTTTCTAAAATTAGCAGAGGAATTAAATACGATAGACATATGGAGAACAAGGAATCCACAAAAAAGAGATTACACCTACTTCTCACCTAGACATAAATCGTGGTCTAGGATAGATATGATATGGATAAATGTGGAGATGGCTAAAGATTTATTAGAGTTGGAAATATTAACAAGCACCTATGCAGACCACAATCCTATGTGGATATCCCTACAAGAAGGGTATAAAAACACAAGATGGAGATTAAACACGGGACTATTAAGAGATAGGAAATTTGTCGGGAAAGTTAAATTAGAAATAAATGCATTTCTAAAAATAAATAGAATGGAGGACACGACATTAAGCAACATTTGGGATACATTAAAAGCATATCTGAGAGGATTATTTATTACCCTGTATAGAAATATTGATTTCTAAAAGCCTTCTGCCTTCCCCTGTTCTGTCTTCTGTGCCTTAATTCCTGTTACCAGCCAAATGGTGAGGCGTAGATGGCCTCGATAGCCATGCCATAAACCACATTCCTTCACACCTGTAAGGGGGGGAGGCAGGCCTCATGCAAGAAGGCACGTAGGCGATGGGAGGCTGGAGTTGGAGTCACCTGACTGCAGAGGGTGTTCCCAAACTCCCAGCCTATCTCCTCACGTCACTATGACAACTAAAATTTGGACACACCCCATTCCACTCCCTATTGGCTCCTGGCCAGGGCTAATTTGGGACTGGGATTGGACTATATCCGGTCATTCCCAATGAGAGAAACTCTCTTCTCCTGCTGTGCTCTCTCTGCTGCTCTTGTGTTCTGCTGTTGTTGGTGCCGGTTTATTGCACCTGGACATGTGGTCTGTTGGAGAACAAAGGATTGCTTGGTGAGCTGAGCACATGGTTGGCAAAGATGGGATTCTTGCTCCAAATCCCTTGGTGCTACTGGATTATCATAATGGACTGTTCTGGACTGATAATTGTTCCTGACATGGTAACTATGAAGCATTATGTTTAGTTAAGGCAAACTGCCCTAGCCTTTCCTGTTTTGAAATCCTTATGGTCTAATTGCAATGCTCTGAGCTGAATAAAATATTCTTCTTGTTTCTGACTTGTTCTGATATTGTAACTGGATTCCAAGGCTAAATCTTGCAGCCTGAACGCTGACCACATATGCTACCTAGGTAAAAGTTTGCATCTCTGGGAAGGAGGTGCTGTTAAGTCCCAGATGCCAGCTCAGAGATCTGAATCTCTGCTCTGAGCTGGAGGGGATTATAGAATACTGAGAGATTCTGGTGGCATATTATTCTGAATCCAGAGAGGGTAGCCTATCTCTCTGGGTTGTTGTTTAATGTACTGTAAAAGTATAGGATTCCCTCTCATTCCTGGACAGGCTTGGGGGGCAGTGTTCTATACATACCCAAAATATATGGAGAAGAAAACAAAAAAGAGAGAGACTTAAAAAACTGACAGAAGATTTAAAAGAAGAGGAAGCGGTTCTGAAAAAAAAGGGAGATCTGGAAGAGATAAGAATTAAGATAAAACTAATTCAACACCAAGTAAACTTACTACTAACACAAGAAATAGCAAATAAAATAGAATATACCAAGGCGTATTATTTTGAGAATGCGAACAAACCTACCCATTGGCTAGCTTATAGACTTAGAAAAGAGAAAGAAAAGAGGACAATTTCAGCATTGAAAAATGAAAATCTGGAGGTAAAATATAAAATATTTTCCTGAGCCTCCGGGGAGGGCGGGATAGAAATGTAAATAATAAATAAATAAGTAAATAAATATATAAAATCAAGATTTAAAAGAAATCGTGGAAAATTTCTATACAAAACTTTATAAACAAAACCTACAAGATAAGATTGGTGTTCAAGAATATCTTAGGAAGCATAAAAGAAAGAAATTTACCTAGGAACAGAAAAACTTTTAAAATAGAAACATTACAACTTGCGAGACAGTGGAAGCACTTAAAAAACAAAAGAAAAAGAAATCACCAAGTCTGGACGGGATTCCAGCTGAAGTTTACCAAGAACTGGAAGAAGAGGTAACACCCGTGCTTAAAGATTTGATGAACAGTATTACGGAGATAGGAAAAATACCAAATTCATGGAACGAGGCGCTGATAACGCTCATACATAAACCCAACTCAAAAGATAAAGATGTAAAACAGTATAGACCCATATCATTGCTGAATGCAGATTACAAGATATTTGCGACAATCTTGGCTACCAGGTTCAAGAAGGTAATGGCGCAAATCATACATCAAGATCAATCGGGCTTTCTTCCGAAAAGACAAATAAAGGGGAATATAGGCTTCTGAGGCCATGATGACAAACTAAACAGCGAGTGGACAACAGTTCAAAATAGAACTACTTAAGTCCTTAGTACTACAACTTACACACTATTTACACTGTGGACTTGCCTGATTCAAGAATTACAATGACACACAGTCAACAAAAACACTCCATGTGGTAGTGGCACTTCATGACAGGGTGGAGACAAGACCTTTTTACAGCCACTCAGCTCAAATACATCTCAACATGGTCAGAGTAGTGTACAGAATGCAGTTCTGCTTTCAGGAACCAACAGCTCTCAAATTCCCCCCTTCGAAGCTCTGCCATTTCAATCAGTTCCGTGTGGTGAGCAACAAAGATGTTGGGAGTGAGGAATAAAGAGGAGTATGGGACTTGCTTTCAGTAGACAAACACCCTTGTCTCGTGCCATCATTTGCTCCTGTGAATGCAACATGGACAGGGAAGGAACAGCTCTTTCTTGCACCAGGGAACATCGACATTTACTGACTGCCTCATAAGAGTTGTGTAACTTAAAAACACAACACACAAAGAAAAAGAACCCAGAACACACCTCTCCTTGCACCCCAGCCTAACTTCTTCACCACAAGGCAATACGTTACATACAGCTAGACTTCAAATACATGATACAGAGGGGTAATATGGGCACCTCTTCCTGCAGGCGGAAAGAGAGAGAAGAAACAGCCATAAGCTTAGCAGCTAACTCTACCTCTTTCTCTAGCACCTCGCTGGCGTCTTCGTGGCTCCCTTTGCTCTGGTTCAGCAGGGCCATCAGGGGGACTCGCTTGGACTCTTTGAAGGGCAGGCGCTCCAGCTCCTGCCATTTCTTCTCAATCTCTTCACTTAGCCGACTCCTCTGAGCCTCAGAAAGGGGGGTACCTGGAGGCTCCTGGCCGGCTGCCTTATGAGAGGCATCCCCTGCTGAGCCATCCGTCTGCAAGATCCCGCTGGTAGGAGTCTCAAACCACTTCCGCCTTTCCTCCGAACGAAGGGCCAGGTCCCGCTCCAGCTCCTCACGCTTGGCATCGGAGGCTCTTGTGCTGCCTCTTGTCCGTTGCGGGGAGCCCTGATTTAAAGGCCCATGTTGCAACGGGGACAGCTCAACGTAGTCAAAAGTATGGCGCTGCCCGTCTGCTTTCCTGCTGGCACCCCTGGGTATAACTTCAGACCCCGTGCCTGACCGCTGCTCTTCTGACCTGAAGGAGCTCTTCTGGGATCCGTAGCTGCGGAATGAGTTTTCTTTATTGCAGTCAGATAGCCTGGAATCAGAGTGAGGCCAAACAGAGCTTGCAGGTGGGAATAGCACAGGCACGTATTGTGAAAGCACGTACACATCCTATCAAGCCCAAGGTATAGTCACACCCCATGCTCTTTTGAGTCCTGGGAAACACCCAAGCACAACCCAGCCCTGTTACACCATCCAAGAGAAATGCAACGTGAAAAAGGTTTTCAAGAGGGTAGAAAACTCAGGCATTGGAATTGCAACCCCATACTCAAGTTCTGCTCTGCACTGAGACATTTGAGATGAAAAAGGCTGCAGCAAGGTGTCCTTGAGAATTCTTCCCCCTTTTATTGGGGGGGGGGGAGTGTCCAGGATGATACAGTCTGTGCATTCCATATCCCTCATTTCTGCCACCGAGAATGGCCAGAACCAGGAAAGGTATTGCATACTGTGTCGATGGCACCCAATTTAAGTTTCCTTTCAGGTGGTTTGGCCCACGCTCAGGGACAAAGAAATCACTATATTTGGGATCAGACAGGAATTTTCCCTTAGGTCAGATCAGCAGTAATCCTGGCTTCTGTAGCCTGCAGTTTGGCTTGCTTGTATTAGCCATCTGAAACCATTTACTTTGTAAAAATCTTTTTTTTAACAGTTCATATTCTCTCATGTATTTTGACCTGGAAGGTAGGATAGAGGAAATAGACAGAGTCACAGCAATGGACTTCTGGTCTTTCAGCTCACTGGAAGTCCATACTGTGACCCAAGCCCACAATTTGAGCAGAGATTTCTTCTCTTGAACGCAGTTTGAGTCAAGCATAAAATATGGTGGAATTAGCAATCATTCTCTGTTCTACCCCTACATAAGATCCTAGTGTTTATTACTGTAGCTACACAGCTGCCAAAGGACCCCAATTGTACCACTAGGGAGGATCAGGCCCTTCCTATGGGAACCAAAACCACTGGAGGAGACAGTGGCACCACACTTATGACACATGGGCAGTGCCTGTTGTATTTCATAGTGCTGTTCTATTGTCCTATTTGCCATTCTGAAATGCTGCTGGTTTTAATTCAATTTCATTGCTGTAAATGGGATCATTGAATTTTTGTTAGCTGCCCGGGGAGCCTATGAAAGTCCCTTGTATGTGTTATACCATAAATACTCCAATTTTCCCCCATTTTTGTGTGTTGCACTAAGAGGCAATCACTGAAAATGTACCCTCAGACATGGTGAACAGTTTTACTAGCTTGATACTTTACTGACACAGTACATGTTCCTGAGTGCAAACTACTATAGATATTAACAGCAGAGCTCCACAGAATTGTTGGAAGGACAGATGGCTTGCTACAGAGGTAAAGATTTCTAAATGGCCAATGTGGTAGTCCCATACAAAGTCTAAAAAAAATGGTTCAAAGACCTATCAGGAAGGCAGAAAGAGAAACGGTTGAAAGTTCCGAGAAACAGAATACGTCCATGGCACATACTTTGTGACATCTGGAACACTGGCAGGACGTATACTTTTCCTCAATGCCTCTATCCAGTTCCGTCGGATCCCTGACGTCATTGCAGACAATGTAAAAACACCATCTTTAGTCTGAAAGGAAAACATCAAACATGGCTTAATCATCCTCTTATTTCATTCATACATGTAGACTACAGCCAATACTTGAAAAGAGTTCTGACAAGGAATATAAATGACCTTATTCCACAGAACCACACAAGCATACTGGGCAAGCATTTGCCTTTCATGCAGGCAGTAACAAGCTTAGTCTGACTACAGGGCAACATTTTGACTTAAAATCCTATTTAACGTGGCTAGCATCATCCATGTACAAGAAGCATTACCTTGTGTTAAATCAAAGTTCAGTCTCTATGAGCTTAAACCCCCAGTCTTAATGTTAAGCTATTCTTGTAACCCAAATAAACAGCATCTATATTATGACTGAACAGGAAGCGGCTCACATTAATTACGGTGGAGCAGAAATAAAAATAATCCCTAACAGGGCCTTCAAAAATTTTGCTCTGATCATTGCTCTTTGGTAATAAACAGTCATGACAACACGACTGCCATAGTGCTCGGCCTTTCCACTTCAACAAAAAACCAAAAACGAGACAATTGTTATTTTACTAAAACCACGTACTGCCTGCCTCGGTACTTAGGAGTCCATGTGGCTAGGGAACAGAAAACAAGCAGCTTTCTCTATCTTATTATACATTCTTTCCTTAACAAAACAGCTTTCAAGAAGTCAGACCAAACATCCTTAGCGGTGCAGTTTTTAAAGACCTTTTTACCAACATACATTATCTTTATGAGAAAGTTCTTGATTATTTTCATTCTTCAGTGGAGGAATAGAGAACAAAATATTGAGCAACCTTGAAAAATCTCACCCAAGATCTCCTGGAACCAAACTAAGGTACTTCTCTACTGAACTTCACTTTCTGCCTGTAAACTGCACCTACATTTTACAGATATACACTCACCTTCCACCTCCTCTTCATCTTGTAGCTCAACAAAAGTGAGCTGCAACTCAATAAGCAAGCAAAGGTGAACACCAATACTAGAAGAAGCCATAAGTGTCCCCCAAACAGTAAATGTACTTAGGTTTTTTTTACTTGCTGAATGAATTTTTCTTTTGTGGAGGAATAATTGTATAGACAAACTGTATAGACAAAAGAGTATCCACCTCTTCCCATGTGATGCCTACAATTACATGCCATTCAAATATATTCAACCACACATCTGCATATGTCCCACTATTACTTTTGGAAATGTGTTGATGTATGTAGATTCATTTTATCTCCTTGCCTCGAAATGCCACTTATAGTGTAGTAACACTTGGCCAGTTAGAGCTATTCTGCTAAGCATCACAGGCCAGATGGCTGTTCAGTTAGTGTACTCACATGTATCTGGAAGCCATAGTTCCGTTGCACTGCATATTCCGTCACATCAGTACAGGAGCGAAGGTCAATTTCTCCATCCAGATCATCTGCCTGAAAAGACCTCCAGACCATCAACGTAAAACAGACACCTTCCACAAGTACAACTCTAATCTCTTTGGTAATCTGCCTCCTTCCCATCTGCCTTTTTTTTTTTAAAGTCAGCATCAGCCTCTCTCCATTTCTTGGACCATTCCCCCCCCGATCGCAGTAGTCCTGACATTAAGAAACCCTCTATCATCAATACAGAGACGATGACCAAGTGGTGTGGCTTCCACGGTCTTCACCTCCCCTTGTGCTTAGAAGAAAGCAAGAGTAATATATAAAGTCCTTTCCCTAAGTGCTTCACGTGTACTCTGAGTAGTGGGCAGACTGGCCCCAAACAGGAAAAGACACGAGGGTTGGGACTGCCTTCTTACCTCCTCGGCGTTGGAGTCCCTGTAATATTTCAGGCTTGAGTCTGTCAGCACAAACCAGTGCTTCTTCCACTGCAGACAGGACCATCAGGGAGGGGACCGGGAGGGGCAAGACAAGAGCTAGATTAAAGGGACCAAGGAAGAGCACGGCCCTGACCGACTTCTCATGCTCGCGCCCAACTCTCAGCCTCTTAGCTGTCTACCCCGTCTTCCTCAAGAGGCATCTCCCTCCCCATGGTTTATTTAGCGAGACATAGGCAGGAAGCATGCAAGAGAGACTGCGGAATACACAAAAGCATGCTAAGCAAAGAAAAAAAAAAGCAGTCGTTAATAAGCATTCTATTCTCATAAATGAATCCTTCCCAAGATCTCAGCTATGCATCCATCTCATTCCATTCTGACGGGCATTCCGAGATTGCTCTAGAAAGTTTCCTTTTGCTGTGTACTTTTCTTATTTGTAAACCCAGAGAGATTTTCATCCACATTGCACGAGCAGCAGCTTGCGAGAAGCAGCGCAATCGACCAGAAAGGGAATTCAAAAGCAGCTCCTGGGTCTGCTTCTTCAACAAGGGTTGCTGAAAAAGGGGTGAGGGAAAGCCCACGGTTATAAGCAATGACAACTGGGGGGACGGAGGAAGATCCCTCTCTAGTCTCCTCAGCCTTACCTCTCCTGGCTCATCCAATATGGACATCCATCCCTTTTTGAAATTGAGAAGGTCCGGCTGGAAAGAGAGAAAAGAGAACACACAGTAGTTTAATAAAGGGGGCTGGAAGAAAAATCACAGAGTTGGAAGGGGCCACACAGGCCATCTGGTCCAACCCCCTGCTCAACGCAGGATCAGCCTAGAGCATCCCTGACAAGTGGTCCTGACTTATCAGGATTCAAACATAAATGAGCATCAAAAACCGAACTGAAAAACAGAGCATCAAAAAAAGGAGAGATATACACCATTGAAAACACTCCAGTACTGACTTCCAGTTTACGAAGCAGCGATGGCAGTCGCTCTCCCCAAGCCGCGGGAGGGCGAATTGCACACCAGCGGTCTGGAGGGGTGCCACCTCAAGTGACACCCCCACGGAGCCTTTGCAATAGGCTCCAGGCCAGAGGGCTTTTGAGGGGTAGCCTCTTCGATGGTGTAATGCCGGAGAATCAAGGCTCCCCTCTGCCCTGACGGTCCAGTCGCTGTGTGGCCTTCGGGCACAAGCTGGTTTGACCAGGACAAGCGCCGGAGATTGAGCAGAAGATCGTTAAAATGCAGCGCGGTCGAGAATCTGACCGACAATGAACGTGAGTTCTGAATAAAACGGACTTTAAAAAAAAAAGCGGAACCCCCCCCATGCGGGAAGAAGCGGATGCAAAGAGGGACGCCTCTTATGCGAATAACCGATAAATGACGCGAAGGGGGAAAGAGGGGAGGAAAGTGGCGCATGTGTTGTGAGAGACTTACTTGATTTTTGACATTGTGAGTGAGTTTCTTGAGTCGGGAGAAAGCGGTGGGAAGTGTAAACAAATCGGAAAAATGGCGGCCCAGCGTGCAAAGTTAAAAATGAAACCGCCAGGCAGTCAGAGTCCCAAACCGGAAGAGGGTGCAGACGTCATTAAACTACTAGCAGATATGCTCAAGCCGGTGATGGAACAACTCGATGGTATTATCCAGCAACTGACTGTGATGAATAAGAACTTTGCATCTCAACAGCTCCAGCTGAATGAAACGGAAAAGAAAGTGGAACAGGCTAATGAGAAAATTCAAGAGATGGACACAAGTAAGAAAGTTGAAGACTACAGCGGATGAACTAGTAAAAGATATGGAGGTGGCCTATAGGGCATACTCCAATTATATTTAAAAAAATAGCCTACCTGGAGAAATTGTGGTTAGATTCTCAAGAAGACAGACCAGAGATACTATTCTAAAAGCAACATCAGCAACTCCACTGAAAATGGAAAATGTAATGATCAAGACGCTAAAAGACATTCCATTTGAAATTCGGCAAAAGAGGAAAAATTATAAAGATTTGATTGCTTTTCTTCAAACTAATGGAATAACGTAGAGGTGGGCGATCCCGGAAGGTGTCATCTTTAAGATCAACGATAAAAGAGAGAAGATAGACTCCATTTTCAAGGCTAAAGAGTTTCTGCGGCGTCAGCTTGGAACAGAGGAAGAGTCTAAGGAGGAAGAAACAAAATCCAGTGACTCTGCTACCTCTGAAATGGAAGAAGACTCTGCTATAGAAACAGGTGCTGGACCTGCCAAAGTTGTCTACGATTTTAGAGACAGAAAGCTGAAGTAAAGGCAGAAGGACTGGGAAACTGGCCTTTTGAAGCAAAGAATACGAAGATGAACAGAAAGTTCTCTCATAACAACTAACATAATAACATAGAAACATGGAAGATGAGAAGGAACTCTACAAGTATATTGTGATACTAACACTTGTGGTACTAACATTTTCACTAACAGAAATAAGATCTCCTCCTCTTGGGTTTTTAGTTTAGTGTGGTTATCTTTCCTTTATCCCTAGTTGTAGCTCCCCTTCCTAATTTTCTTTGTAATTTGTAGTTTAATGCAAAATAAAAAAAATATCCCTTCGGGGGTTTCAAAAAAAAAGAAAAAAAAACACTCCAGTACTGAGCTTCCCTCTGCTCTCCTCCTACCAGTCTACCATATTTTTATTCTACCCTTCCTCCAAAAAGCAAAAGGGTAGCAGACACAGGTTGCGTCACACAGCTCTCCCCTCTCCCATGCTATCCTCACAAAAGTGCCAAGAGGTAGGTTAGGCTGAGACAGTTATGCCCAAGGTCACCCAGAGAGCATCATGGGCAGGTAGGGATTTGAACCTGGGTCCCACTGAGCCTAGACCATAAGACTACATTGGCTTTAAGTACCAGAGACCTGGGGAAGCAGTGCCCCAAGCTTGCTCTCTTAGTATTCCTTCTCAAGAGTTCTATGGGAAAGCTTTGACTAGTACAGCTCCAAAATATTACAACTTAGTATCCCAGGTTCTCCTTGTTTTTGGGACAGGGAAGGCGCAGCAACTCCCAGTCAACAGAATGCCTTCTGCTGGCTGTTAAGTGAAGTTGCTTGGATAACATTTTTTTTTAATGTCCCCGGTTTTTAGTACTAGCATTTTATGGGACCACAAGTTCATTAAATGAACAGGCCAAAAAGTCAGTGCTTCCACCCCAACCAACCTAGTCAGAATGGCAAGGATTTTAAAAACAAAGATTTTGACATTACAGCCCCTGCTCAATAGAAACCTTGGGTATTCAAATCCGGGATATGTTAAAATGTTGCTCCTGCGAGAAAACCTGCAGGTGACTGCATTTTGCGCGTAATTCTGTGCAGCAGCCTGCAAAACTCAACTGAACATTCAAGAAAGTAAGGAAACAAAGTACGACATAGCCCAATATAATATATATAATTTTATAAATTTAAGTCTTAAAGCAGGGGTGTCAAACATGGGGCCCGCGAGCTGGATAAGGCCCTCAGAGGGCTCCAATCCGGCCCGCAAAGACCTGGCTATTTTCTGCTTTATTTTCCAGTTCTTCTGTGGCTGCCATGTCACAGCTTGCTTTTCCAGACTCTCTCAATCGCACAGGAGAGATAGATAGGCAAGCCTCTCTGGTGCAACTGAGAGAGTCTGGTAAAGCACTGGCTGAGGCTCCTCCCCCTCCTCCTCCCATGTGGAGGGAGGGAACTGGCCAGGCTACCTCAATCCTACAGGAGACAAAGGGGAGCCTTTCTTCCCTTCCACTGGCTGAGGCTCCTCCCTGAAAGGAGGGAGGGAAAGAGGGAGAGCTTGCTTTACTGGGCTGCCTCAATTGCATGGGAGAAATACCAAGCACCTTTAAGACCAAGAAAGTTTTGTTCAAAGTATGAGCTTTTATGTGCCTTGCTACAGTGTGTGTGTTTTTTGTTGGACTCCTTATGCCAGAACTCTCCTGTGTGCAAGTGGGTTTCCTCCCCCTTTTCACTGTATTCATGTCCTCATGATCCAGCCTTTCTCAGTAAGAAAGCAATGTGGACAATTTTAGAGGAGGAAAAACAAGCCAGTGAGGTGGGTTAGGCTGACAGTGTGTGTCCACACCAAGTTCACCCAGCACATTTCCTTTGTAGGAAGTTGTAATTATTTCTCTGGGGAAGAGTATAGTTTTGTAGACAAACACATGGCCATCAGTCTGTGTCAGAATGCCTTCTCATGTTCTTGACCAGCACATGAAGCAACTTATGTACAAAAGCTCACAATGCCCAGCCATTTCATGTTATCCCTTGAGTCCTAGGCTCAGCATGAGATTCCTGTAATGAATGTCAATAAATCAAAAGTAGGTTTGCAGCTTAAAGATACACACCTGAACAGCGTACTCAGGATTGCTACAGCACAGACATTTTGATGCAATAAATCAAAGCAAGAGGTGTCAGTTATCAGAGACCATTAAATGGACAAAATATTGCAAGTGTGCTAGTGTTTTAAGCATCTTTTATTTAAACTTTAAAAAATCTTTAATTGTGTTTGTCTGTGTCCTTTATAAAGTTTATATCTCCACTATCTGGCATTACATTTTATGACACACATGGCCCGGCCCAACAAGGTCTCATTTATGTCAGATCCAGCCCTCATAACAAATGAGCTTGACACCCCTGTCTTAAAGGTTAAAATCCTTCTCTCATAATATATCCCTATGTATTATTGGAATGTTATTTACAATTCCTTATACAAATTTTTAATAGTTTTATCTGAAATTTTTAACAATTTGGGGCAATGACTATGGTATATTTTATTCTGTTTCATGCTAGTGCAATACCATAATAAGAACATAAGAGACGCCAATGTTAGATCAGGCCAAAGGCCCATCCAGTCCAACACTCTGTGTCTCACAGTGGCTAGGAATACCAGTGCCATCAGGAGGTCCACCAGTGGGGCCAGGAAATTAGAAGCCCTCCCACTGTTGACCCCCCCCCCAAGCACCAAGAAGACAGAGCATCACTTGCCTGTCTTTGACATTTGACATTACACCAAGGGAAGGAGATGGAAGGCAAGGAGATGGAATGGAGAATAGATATTCTCAAGGCAAGGAGATGGAATGGAGAATAGATATTTAGATAGTTGCTCCAGAGGTTCCCAAACTTATTTGGCCTATTGCCCCCTTTTCAGAAAAAAAAATTACTCAGCGCCCCCCTGGAAATCTACCTTCAAGTAATGGAAAAGTAAAGGCCTCTAAGTAAGCTCAAAAATCATGGGATAAAAGGACAAGTCCTTTTATGGATCAAAAACTAGCTAATTAATAGAAAACAGACAGTATAAATGGGCAATTTTCTCAGTGGAGGGTGGTAAGCAGTGGGGTACTGCAGGGATCAGTACTTGGTCCACTGGTTTTTAACTTGTTCATTAATGATTTGGAGTTGGGAGTAAGCAGTGAAGTGGCTAAATTTGCGGATGATACGAAGTTTTCAGGGTGGTGAAAACCAGTGAGGATTGTGAGGCACTCCAAGGGGATCTGTCAAGGATGGGCGAGTGGGCGTCAACATGGCAAATGGGGTTCAATGTGGCCAAGTGCAAGGTGATGCACATTGGAGCCAAAAATCCTAAATATAAATACACATTGATGGGGTCTGAACTGGCAGAGACTGATCAAGAGAGAGATCTTGGAGTTGTAGTGGATAACTCACTGAAAATGTTGAGACAGTGTGTGACTGCAATAAAGAAGGCCAATGCTATGCTGGGGATTATTAGGAAGGGTATTGAAAACAGATCAGCCAATATCATAATGCCCCTATATAAATCAATGGTGAGACCTCATTTGGAATACTGTGTGCAGTTCTGGTCACCACACCTTAAAAAGGATATTATAGCTTTGGAAAAAGTGCAGAAAAGGGCAACTCGAATGATAAAAGGGTTGGAACACTTTCCCTATGAGGAAAGGTTAAAGCGCTTAGGGCTCTTCAGCTTGGAGAAACGACGACTGAGGGGTGACATGATTGAGGTTTATAAGATTATGCATGGGATAGAGCAGGTAGAGAAAGAGGTACTTTTCTCCCTTTCTCAGAATACAAAAACTTGTGGGCACTCCATGAAATTGCTGAGCGGTCGGGTTAGAACGGATAGAAGGAAGTACTTCTTCACCCAAAGAGTGATTAACACATGGAATTCACTGCCACAGGAAGTGGTGGCGGCTACAAGCATGGACGGCTTCAAAAGGGAATTAGATAAGCATATGGAGCAGAGGTCCATCAGTGGCTATTAGCCACAAGGTATAGATAGGGGCTCTGGGGCAAGTGATGCTCTGTCTTCTTGGTGCTTTGCGGGGGGGGGGGTCAACAATAGGAGGGCTTCTAACGTCCTGGCCCCACTGGTGGTCCTCCTGATGGCACCTGGTATTTTTGGCCACTGTGTGACAGAGTGTTGAACTGGATGGGCCTTTGGCCTGATCCAACATTGGCGTCTCTTATGTTCTTATGGACGATGCAGTTTGTGGATCTGCATCTGGATCATTCCAAGCCCACCCGGATCGTTCCAGCACCCCCCAGGGGGCAGTATTGCCCACTTTGGGAACCAGTGGTTGCTCCACTCCAGTATTCCATTTTGTGCATGTCCTTTAATACGCTCCTCCACACACAGTCTGTTGCACTGAGGACTGTCAGCAACCCTATCCCTGTTCTATAGATGGTGTTGAGAGAGGTAAGAGATCTGTTCAAGGCTACTTGGTAAATCTGTACCAGAAGAGAGATTTAAACACAGGCATACATTCAGATTTCTAACCCCCTCTCTAGACTCATGTTTTGCATCAAGTATTTGTAACAGTGATCTCGAGAGGTTCCTGGTTTGCTCACAGCTATGGGACTGAAAGCAATCGTCTTTAAAAAGCAAGCAGCTCCACTAGTCACACACATCTTGGCTCCCCCACCCACCCCGCACACAGCACTTGTGTGTCAACATGAATGGGATGGAGATGCCATGCTAAATCACCCAAAGGGGCAATGCCACACACATTCACTCGACAGACAGTTCTTTCTGTAAGCAAAAAGCCAGGGACAAGTGACTTGAGAGGACAAATTTACGTTACATGTTCATTAGAGAGGCTAAGAAATATTCTGCAAGAGAGCAAGAACAACTGGGCAGTCTCAGTTAAGACTGGCACAACTTGGCGGCACTGAATTGAAGATTCACCTCCCTTGTTCTCCCCAGCATTTAAAAAAAACAAATATGCTAACCCAATGCTAGCCATTGCACTTCTTAAAAGGTGTATTTGTCAACACTCAACTTCAACGACAAGGAACAGGCAAAACAGGTGTTAAGTTTCGTGTCCATGCAGAGATAAGCAAATGTATTAAAATTACTTGCTCACAGCTATGGGACTGAAAGCAATCCTCTTTAAAAAGCAAGCAGCTCCACTAGTCACACACATCTTGGCTCCCCCACCCACCCCGGCACAGCACTTGTGTGTCAACATGAATGGGGTGGATGCCATGCTAAATCACCCAAAGGGGCAATGCCACACACGTTCACTCGACTGCTGCACCCCAACCAGTTTTGCCTCCTAGTTCAGAACTGGAAACCACAGAACAGCTGACGTGGTGAAGCAATAGGGATGTCTTTCTACAAGTAAGGCATGGCTGAATGTTCTACCTTCCAGCCATCAGAGAAGGCAAAAAAAAAAAACCCCCAGAAAGTGATGAAATACATACAGACATTATACGTGACATGGAGAAAGTAAGGAACAAAAAGGACCAGAAACAGTATTTTCTATTCGCTTCCCTTCATAAGCAATAACGTGTGTGCACGCTTTCAACTCCATTGTCTCCACTCCTTCTATGTACAAATTTGCCACCTTCTTGTCTTTCTGTGTCTCAGTGCTGCTCTATACTTCTTACAGCAACAGCAATGCCGCCTCTGCTCCCCATCCCAGGATTGGTTTCCTTCTTTTCCTACACTTTGACTTCCCTCCCTGTCATTGGCAGAAGCTTCTCACGGTCAGCTCCATTCCCAGAAGAACAGCAAAGATACACTTGTAGCTAAAAAAAACCCCCAGCGTCTCATATGGACTGGGCATGCAGTTATGAATGACGGTCTGTAAACGAAGTCTTAAAATTCCTGGCGATGCTACAGTCCGGAAGGAAGTTCACCTCCTACTGCACTGTAGTAGAGAAGCAGCATTACTTTCTAGAAGAACCAATTACCCGGAAACGTCTAAAGAGATAATTTAGGGGAAGAATTGGCTTGCATGTTGGAGTTATACTAGATCAGTGCTGCCCCAATCCTCAATGCCTCTCCCCCTCCACTACAATTCTTCACTTAACACTATGGGAGAGAAACAGAACGATACAAGCAAAACCCTGTCTGTACCGGAGAGCCGTCGGTATCAAGATGTCCAATCATGAGAAATCTCTCTAACGGGGTCAGATGCCACATATTCCAGTCACGAACAGGATAGCAGTGGGAGCGTCTCCACGGCTGGATGAGTCTTCAGTCTCCCCCCTGAGCTTCCAAAAAAGCACCTGCCAGGTGCCAGGTAGTTCCGTAAACCCAGCTCCCACGCAGCCCAGCTATGTGAAACTTTCCCTTCCTTTCATCTCCTAGGGCTCAGCTCTTGGGTTACACCCAAGGTTACGGCAGACAGCAGAGCAGAAGTCCTGGCCCGCCCCAAACGTTACAACCTGATTGGATAAAGGGAAGGGCCACCTGTTGTTACAGCTGCAAGTCCCAGCCTATTGCAGAGCTACTTGGTTGGGGTATCCGATTGCAGGGACTGGATGTCAACAGGAAGGGGGGAAAAGAAAACCCACATGGAAACTAGAGCTAGGTGACCCAGGCTTCCTCTCTCCTCACCTCCAGCGCTGCCAAACGTTGGGAGAAGGGGGGGAGGGGGGAAATGGGAAGATAAGTCAACAGGATCATGCAGAAAGGCTGTCCACTCTGTTTGTTTTCCCTCACTTTCTCTCCTTTTTCAAACACCAACTCTCCCCCTCCATGCAAACATATCTACGCCAGCACTTGTGGCTTCCATTACAGAGGCAATGAAACCCCATGGTCCCAAAACAGGCAGAGATTGGGGGGTGGGAGTTGCAGAAATGAGCAGCCATTAAAACTGAGAAGAAAACCCTATAAGAAAAAGATGGGGGGGGGGGAGACTGTAATTTGTCTGTTGTGGCATATATTTCATAGATCACACTATTCTTGAGGTACATGAAATGGACTAAGATGGTGATAGAAATATCTGCCTGCGCAGACATAGGGTTCAGAAGACACTAAACTACTCAGTAAACCCAGTATTTGTCTGCTCTATTGTGGCTGTCTCAAAAACAGGTTAAGCAGATATTCAGACCTGAAATGTAGAATTGTGCTGTGAACACGACTCCCCCCATCTTTGTCTCAACTCTCAATCATCAAATAGTGGTAAAGGTAAAGGGCGGGATACAAATAGAATTAATTAATTAAAGGTTTCCCTTGCTCGAAAGCCAGTCAAATCCGACTCTAGGGAGCAGTGCTTATCTCCATTTCCAAGCCGAAGAGCCAGCACTGTCCGAAGACGTTTCAGCGGTCATATGGCTGGCATGACTAAATATCGAGGTGCATGGAACGCTGTTACCTTCCCACCGAAGCGGTATCTACTTGCAACTTCTTGCTTTCGAACTTCTAGGTTGGCAGGAGCTGGGGCCAGAGACGGGAGCTCTGGCACTAGGGTCTTAAACTGCTGAACTACAGACCTTCCCGTCTGCAGCTCAGCATCTTAACCTCTGAGCCACCGCAGCCCCCAAACAGAGATTTACAAATAGAAATTGTATGTTACAAACTTACTATCAGAAAGCAAATGGTCAAATTAAATCAAAGGCCTCAGCCAAGATAAGAATTCAAAGCAAGCAGAAGCCAAGGAGTACATCCTGACGACTGGGCTAAATAGGACATTTACACCATCTAAATGTTAGCTGTATAGCAGGTAATGCTGAATATTTGTTGGAAGGCAAAGGACCCATAAGTGTCATAATCTCTTAAATCAGGCCTGAAGAAACATTGTCAGATCTTAATTTAGGGGTCCAATGCCTCTACTCGGAATAACTTTTAAAAGGTAGTCAGTATATAACAAGATAGTGGGTTCCCACACACCATCCATAATAGGAATGGATGAACAGGGATAGCTGTCTACAACTAACTAGAGACACGACTAAGGATGCATCCCCATGATCACCGTTTAAACCCCACAATTCTCTTAGTGATTCTAAATTAAGCTAATGAAATTAGAGTGCTCCATGAGCAAGCTACCAAATTTGGAACATCTCTAAACAGCTTCTGATTGGTTTTATTACATTTACAGGAATGAAAGAGTGTTTTAGAATTGCCTAAGCAGTTTGTGTTTAAGCAAAACGTGTTTAGCACATCAGAAGTGCCCGAGCATCACTGACCAAGCAAGCATCTTACTGTTTTCCATTCCTGTTTTCTAGAAGCCTCTAGCGTCCACTTCCCAGAAAAAGTCTGGAGGAGTTATCAAGAAAATCTCTAGGTACATAGAAGGCCATGGAAGTATGAGCAACAAACAGCAAGAGAGTGTGACGGATAACTCTAGCCAGTTACACCCAGATTTCAGAAGGGGCCAAAGGAATGTGGCATGTGTAATATATTTGTATCTCGCAGACAAAATGTTGTACTGTTTCCATGGCATTTAAAATCCAAATAAACTAGGATGCCATGAAGATTAGAGGCAAGATACCATGGGAGAAAAGTCATGATAAATATCAAAGTGATGATGATGAGGAAATATATCTAATAAGAAGCATAGTACTTTTTTTCCTGAGTGGAAAGACTAAGCATAAAGTTACATGTTTGGAAGGGACACTGTATTATGAAGAACAGCAAGAGGCATATGATGAGGATTTGGTCTTCCATACAACACCATACACAGCTGGAGGGGGAAAATATAAGACTTTAAAATGGGTTTATTTTCTTATCTCTGTGCAGGAGAGATACTAAAAGATGCTGGAACACTGCTTCAAAGTGGTTACAAAATCTGTAGGAAGAATTCCTGTAGAAACACAAGGGAAGTGCAGGGGAAAAAACAGTATTAAGGGCCCTCCTGAAACCCAACAATGTGAGGGGTTGTTGTTCAGCAGTAGTGCATCTGTTTGGCTTAAGGAAGGTTCCTTCCAGGTACAATTTCTTGTACTTTCAGTTAAAAGGATAAAGTAGAACATGCTGTGAGAGACTGATCTAAGACCCTGGAAATAGGGTGACTGACCTCCAGGTGGGGCCTGATCATCCACAATTACAATTTATCTCCAGACTACAGAGGTCAAATCCCCTGGAGAAAATGGCTGCTTTGGAGGGTGGACTGTATGACATTGTGCCCCACTGAGGTCCCTCCCGAGATTCTGCCCCCAAATCTCCATAATTTTCCAACCCAGAGTTACCACCGCTACCTGGAAAGCCACTGTTAATCTGAGTAGACGATACCAACCTGGATAGGCCAATTATCTGGCTGTGACTGTGTTCATAAACAAGGCCAGAGCTGTGAGAAAGACGTCAAACTAGAGCAACATCCTTCAAAGCAATATAGGATGACTTAATACAGTCTGGTAGGACAGTCCACAGGAGTCATTACATTGCCTGTGGACATACAGAGGAATCCTCCTCCAGAATAACAACCAGGTGTCAAGGACAGGATAATAGGACAGCATCAATTTTCCAGTGGTTCTTTGGTACTTTGCCTCCCTCCCTCAGGCACCTTAAAGGCACACAGTGGGCTGAAGTTGCCCTGTGCCTGTCAGCAGCCTGCACCCAAACTTGGGGAAAGAATGAGTAGCCATGCCATCTAGTCATTAGCCTTGAAGAAGTGTGGCTTTCTGCTCCACTCAGCAAGAACAAAGCCGTAGCGCCCGAGACCGGTGCTTTCTGCAATTTATGCAAACTGGTAGTTCAGCTGAAGCAGGAGATGCCCTATTACTTCAGGCACCACCATCCAAAATACAGAACATAGTGAATGCAGGGGAAGCTACAATTGAAGCTGTGCTCCCAAAGCGATTTTGTGCATGAACTTAGAAAAAGGAGGTGTTGCAAAACATAAGGTCTGTGATTTACTAACTGGTAGCTAAGGGTCAGAAGAAAAGCCATTTTGATCTTAACATTTCATGAATTTTAAAGGATAGACAACTCAACTCCAGTTTAAACACCAAGTATTGCATTTCATCTTAGGGCACCATGCTGTTTGACACAGAAAAACAACCCCCCAACACACACACACACACACACACACACACACACACACACACACAATGCCAGTGGGAGAACTGGAGGGGCTGCATTGCAAGATGAGATTAACAAGAACTGAATGTGCTTAGCCTGGCAAAATCAGAACTACAGGGGGACATGATAATAGTCGGCAAGTATGCAAAGAATGTAAACACCAAAGAAGGAAAGGAATTGCTTGGGATGGCACAAAGGGTAGAGGAGGAACAAGGAGAGCGAGCATTATTACTCTAAGCCTACTGCTCCGTAAGTGTAACTATACCTCCCTTTTATTCAGCATAACCTCCTGATGGGAGGACAGATACCTTACACCCTAGGGAAGTGAGCCAACTATGGTGGGCTATACATTCACACACTTGACCTACAAGAGTTATCTGGTTCTGGAACATTTCTTCAGAGGCAGAGCAGAAGAAGCATGGACGAAGCTGGGAAACAAGGGAGGAAAGAAAGCCACAGAGTCCTGAATATTGGCCAAGGGACACAGGACAACAGTACTTTGTATTTGGAGCACAACAGTATTAGTGCAACTGAGAGAAATATGGTGACTACATGGGGATGGGAGTTCTCGGGAACAGCATTATGATTCTGGAATGCTCACCCAAGAAAAGTCAGACTGGCCCCATACTTTTGGCCTCTCACTGTGTATTGAAAAAAGCTCTTTGAGCACACCTTCCTTCTATAACCACTGCTAACACTACCTGCAAATCAGCACTGGTTTTATTGTCTCTGGAACTGCTGGTTCTTTTTTTAAAAAATTCCTTTTATCTTGGTATGATTTTTACCTGGCTGCTGTTTTTATACAATAATGTTTTCCATATTACACAAGATACTGCTATTGTTTAAAATATTTGAAACCCACCTTGGAAAGGTGGAATACAAACTTTTAATGCCTACTTTGCAGGGCTGGTGTGAGAATCAAAATGCAAGTAGTTTAAAGCAATCCCTTACTCTCCATACATTGGAAAGAGGATAGAGCTTTCAAAAGCAAATCAAGAATTGTTGAATCAGCAAATCTTCAGTGAGCAAAAGCTCAAACAAGCACAGGAATTCTCCCTGTCACCCAAGAGTTCAAACAGGATATATGCAAGAACTGAAGAGTTGCACATGATACCGAAGATCCAAAGCTCAAGCCTCCACCATTACTTATGACCTCATTTTCCAGCCTTGCACAAGATTCAGTGCCTACCCCCACCCCACCCGGAAATAATGACCTACTTCACAGGACTGTTCTGACGGTGAATACCAGTATTATTGAAAGACTCTGCAAAATACAATGCTATATACATGATCAATAACAGTGGTGACTGACTGGATCTTTGAAAGGAGCTACCATTCATAATGAAGTAGCTG